TTTTCATACCGGCCACACTGGGTCCTCCCTTTAACTCGAGAACACCGACGTAATCGCCTTGAGTGGTGCAGACAACGGTCACTCTGGGATCAGGAATGGAACAGTATTGTCTTTAGTGACGAGTCTCAATTTTGTTTAGGCATGCACGATGGTCGTGCCAGGGTTAGAAGGCGACGTGGTGAAAGGAGGAATCCACGGTTTTTTGTTGAAAGACATGTTCATCACACTGTTGCAGTTATGGTTTGGGGTGCTATAGCTTATGGTTCCAGGTCACCTTTAATCTTTTTTAGAGGTAACATGAACGCGCAGCGTTATATCCACGAAGTTCTAGAACCCCATCTTTTACCCTATCTTGACACCCTGGCAGATCCAACTTTCCAACAAGATAATGCCCGACCACATGTTGCAAGAGTTACAATAGACTTCTTTCAACATAATGATGTCACATTGTTACCATGGCCACCAAGATGTCCCGACTTATCCCCAATTGAGCACGTGTGGGATATGATGGGTAGGAGATTGCTGAATTTGCAACGTCCTCCTCAGACTTTAGAAGCACTTCGAGAGGAGTTGGTGGTTGCCTGGAATGAGATACCACAGGAGGACATTGACCACCTGATCAGAAGCATGCCTAGGCGCGTTGGAGAATGCGTAGCACATCAGGGTGCATCCACACATTATTAAAGGTAAAAGGGCTTTAAAGCAGTGCAATCATTTTGAAATTTTTATCATTTACTTATTATGCTTCATTAAGTACTTTTACAAAATTTTATTAAAATAAAACCATTTAAACTGGGTGTTCGGATTTATATGTCACTTAGTATAGTTACAAGTGAAGTATCTCGCGAACATGCATAATTAAGTTATAAACCGTTCAAAACTTTGAATTTTCCTCAAATTTTGAGATAACGTATTCATTCTTACAGATTTCGTATTATCGCTTATTATAAAACATTTTTATGTACAAGGTATTAATAAAGTGGTTGATTTTAAGAAGGGAAGTTAATATAAATATACCACGATACTTTTTTTGAGAATCATTTTTTCGTAAGAATCGTAGCAAGCGTTTTGTAGCTTTCGTTAAAATGTTTTGGAATATACGGTGGTATAACCCAAAAGCTTACCAAAACCGTTTAAAATAATGCTATATTAAAACATGTTATCGTAGCAGTCTCGACTGCCGGACTTAAATCCTTCAAAGTTTTCCTTTTGTGTGGCCTTAATGGCCATAACACGTACCTGTAGACATGTACCGATTTTTGTTATTTTGCAAAAAAGGGATATAAAACGAATCCCAACTGGTTCATCATCTTTTGTTACATCAAAAACAATTTTTGCCAATTTATGATCTAGAAATCCACACCAAATGTAAACAAACAGCACATTCTGCATTTCTGGGTCCTAAAACATCGATATTTGTAAAAGTATCCGCATTCACCTATTATTCATTGTCTAGATAGTATAAGTCAGAATCAAAAATACCTATTTATGAAAATATATCTCCATTGTTATATTTTTTATTATTTCTATTATTATAACACGTCTGGGATATCAATTGCTTTTAAAGTGATCTGCAGTGTTGCCGAACCGGAAAAAACGGAATCGGTAAATAGTGTCGTTGAGTTCGGTATAAGGTAAATGCCGTCCAAAGATCAGTGATAGATCAAGGACCTTTGAGTCATGAAAAACGTCTGTTATTGTATTGGGCGCTCACACAACATGTTTTTTGAGGGCATAGTTCTATATTACAACTTCTACAATGTGCATACTAATCGCTCTTTCAAAGTACTTTGCAAACCATTCTGGAAACTCCTTTTTCGATTCTTGCTTATGGGTTTGTGAATATTTTTCTGTTTTACCCCTCAACTCACATCTCATTTTAATTAAATATTTATTTTGAAAACAGACAGGGTTCGGTTTCTTTATTGCTTGTCCGGTGATGAGGTAATGACGGTAATCTACCAGTCTGCACCTTTTGTATGCACAAAAATCAATTCAGGGCAAGCGGAGTAAGGGATGAGGTTGTACGTTGGTAATCATAGGCAACCCAAATCTACGCCTCTCATGTGCTCGATTGCCTGAGTGTGTATGCATATGTATGATTGATATGGGGCATAAAACTATGAATACTCCATAAGATTCACTTTTAGCTTTATTCTTGGTTTCAGCTCTTTTTCGGCAAGTTTAGAAATATTTAAATTATTTTGAAAAACCTTGGAGAATGATGTTATCGATAAATATTCTCTTGTCGGTAAAAATACCGAAAAATCCGGTTCAAGTCCATGCATAGACAATCTGAATTCATTATGAATTTATATTCTAAATTCTATGCATATCCGTTCATATTCGTCAATATTTCATTTGAAGCTTTTATTTGTCATAAGATTTTAGCAAAATGTAAGATAGTAAGGGCAACACCGCACCCTGCAGCCCAGTTGACAAGAACGACAAGCTGTCAAGGTTAGGGATGTTTAGATCCACGAAAAGTATCGTTATGTATCAATTCTTATCGTTTTAGGAAGTATCGATACTCTAAAATATTGGAATAAAATTATCGATATCCAGCGGAAGGAAACAAAGAAGAAAAGTAATCTGAAGTTAGTCACTCTTTTTGATACAGTCCGGATCGAAAGATGACGATACTCGTGAAATGTATCGATACACCTAAATGTCGTATATGAAAATATCGATCCAAAATATCGGGTATGGGAAGCAATAGTATCGATACTTCTAAATATAGGATCGTATCGAACATCCCTACTGTCAAGATGTATAACCCGAGGTACCGACGCAGCTATTTTGGGGCTTCATGGAAATAATTTCAAATTTTCAAGCGTTGTGCAACGATTATGGGAAAAATTCCACGAATAGTCTTATAAAGCATAATAGAGTATATTTCAACAGTTGTCGGAGCGTACTCCACTGGGACCAGGGTGATGAAACGTGCACAATCTGGCAACCATGTCGCACCCGCAAAAAAATGGCCGCTGACAACTACACAAGTCACCATGTTGTCATTGAATAGCATGGAATTGAACCTTCTTCAATGTATATGTTTTGTGACTGGGACCAAGGGTTGACGGATCCTACAAATGTGTCACCCGTTTCTGGAGTTTTGAAATGTAATAATCAGCTGTTATTCAAATAATGTCTAATTATATAACCTAGAATGTGTACTCGTGAAAAAAGAAAAATATGGCGAATTTCTAGTTTTTTGCAGGTTTTAGGTTTGCTGGTAGCTTTACGACATATATTTGGGTGTGTGAATATAGTGTGGATGTTTGTTCAGTTCCTGAAGAACGAAAAATATTCAACCTTATGGATGGTTGGATAACAAAAAACCTGAATGGTTTTGTGGGAATATCAATCTAAGGTGTCATAATGGTTCTGATTAACGGCAAGTAAATGAATAAATGTTTGGAAACGAGCAATATCTATGAAATTTTTGGTAGAGTCTGTCATCAAGTATAAAGTAGGTGTTTAATGGCTATCTGCAAGAGGTTTATACAAAAAAAAACACGGGAAGTGATGTTAAATCAGTAAAATCGCATATCAATTGAAGAAAATAATATAAACATGAATAAAAAATCAGCAATAGTAATTAAAACATGAATTTTATCCAAAAATCAAACATTTCTTTAAATGTTTGCTGAATTATATGTAAATTCTTAATATTCAATGAGCTGGTGATGTTTCAAAGACACGCTGTCAACTCATGCTTTGACAATATTTTCTTTTCAACATTTCATAGGCACTGGTTGATGAAATTTGTTGATTGGATGTTACGCTATAGGTGGAGAATAACGGACTGTTAATTTGACATCCTTGGTGAAATCCACCCTAAGTTAGTCAAACAGATTCATACAATCAAAATTTGCACGCTTTTCTGAACAATACAAGAGAATATGTTAACCCTCGCTCTTCAAAAACTGACTGACGACAGCGTTGCGTAAGAAGTGCAGAGTCAGCCTAATTTACGCCATTTTTTGAAAATGCCGATTGTACGTATCAGTTGACTAGACTATCAAGCAAGAGCCTATCTCTCGGCCTGTGTCTCGATCTCTACTGTTTTCCGCTCTCCGCAGCCGCAATTCCATTTCAGGATTAAACAAATACGCAACGAGTATTCAGTATTGTTCCGTTTATACCGCATTCACTTGTCGTCCTTTCTCAAGATATCCCCAGCATTATTGTTATTGCTTGTTGGATTGAAAGAGTCCTACCATCTTGACTTCTTAGCTAACGATTGTATCACGTTTATTGTTGTGTCAGCGGGGAAAAGCATGTAAATTATCGCAAATTCTAATCGTTATCGTCCAAAATACGGATAGACCATGGAATATATAGATCTTCCCAACAATCTTAGCTGAACGAAGCATTCTATTGCATGATTTTCAGATCATTACTGAATTCAATCTTCAAATATCTGTTGTTGGTGTAAGTCTTCACTACTCTGCTCACCAGTATCCCCATGTATTTTTATGTAACGCATAACTCATTCGTTTTTCGAGATATAAACAAGAATTGCTATTGGACTTTTTCAATAAAACATTTTATGGAAATAAATATATAGAAGCTAAAATTGTTCAATCTTGTAACTTCTTTGGTTGAAGAACCAAGCATGATGTAGGAAGCATTCATGCGCTGAAGAAAGCCGGCAGCCGCGTGGTTTCTATGCTAGCCCAAAATATATACCACCTCTTCTCCGTTCACACAGAAAGGAGGATATGGTAAGCCTACAGCAGCTCAGTTTGAGGCATGAGGCTCGGAAGACCGTAACCTGTATACGATCTTGTATAAGATACCGTTCTCGCAGGGTTGTACCGTGGTGTGTGCTCACGAGGAGGCGTGGTGAAACTAGAAAGCGATTGGAAATACCTTACAAATCCGGTTGTTCCACTTGTACACCGCCAGATGGGGCGCCAAGCCAGCTTGATGGAGCAAAAGACCACTGACTGAATTTGCCTTTAACAGTCGATCCTGAAAGTTCGTTGGTAGCTGGTGCTGTAGAGTAGTTGGTTAGGTCGGCTTCTTGGATTGGAGGAGATGCGGGTTCGGATCCCCCCAAAATCGTATACAAGAAAGCTGATGTTCCTCTTTCAAGAATGCAATCAGTTTGTGGGTAAGAAGAGTAGTGAGGAATACTCAGTCCCAGATAATTCTAAGGGACTTCAACAAAACCAAGGCACGGAGATTCGATCGGAAAGCGCTACGAGGATCGAGGGGTGATAAGATTTTTGGCTGGCCACCAGTTATTCAGAGTATATCTGCCAGAAATTCCCACCTATACAGATAACCCAGAAGAGAGAATGGTTTGCAAACTTAATTAAATCGGTGACTTTAAAACCACTTTGAGTCCATTTTTCCCAACATGTTTTTTTACTGGTTGGTTGATGCGTATTCTGGGTATACGCATAGAAAATCAATACATTCCCTTCAAACAATACCACGTAATCAACGTCCATTGCATAAGTCCGGAGTAAGTGACTTTTGTATACGGGTACTTTAATAGGTTATTTCAAAAACAGTACCAAGACCACTGATTTGTTTTACAACACGTCCACCAGCAACGCCAGTACCGTACGCCAGGGTACGATTTGTGAATACCAACTCCATCTTATTAAAAAAATCTCCAATATTTGGATACGCTAAAATATGTGATAACTTGATCATCGAGTTTAGAAGAAGCATCTTTGCATTGAGAAGTACTTGAGGAAGTGTCTAACAAATGTTTCTACTCTTCAGACGAATTTTCTAGCGTGTATAAGTATTTTAATTGTCAGCAATCTTTGAGGTGTATAATGTTCTGCGGTTCATGTATTTCAACTAAAGAGTTTATTTCTATTAACTGCTTTTAAACTTTCTGTCCTCATGCGATGTTTATTGTACTTTTATAATCACTGATCTTATACTTATATGCATGTGTTCTTATACCCTCTTTTTAGATAAGTCTTCCTGATCTTAATTTATAGTGATCCTACCAATTTTGTTTTTTGTATTTATAACTATGTAAATACTTCTTACTCCTAACGAGTGAAAAGTGGTTCTTTTTGTATTAAAATTTTGTATTAAAATCAATAAGCTTCTCTCCGTTTCCTATCGAAAGCTTTTTAGAAAATTGTGTTGAACGGGATTTAACTGTTCAAATCTCATGCATTTTTTTGTAGTCTACTGTTTCATAACTATCTTTTATCATCACTGTGGACTGTGTTTTATACTTTATATTTTCTTTTCATATACTATTCGTCATTTGTTTGTCTGGGGGGTCCGTAGGACCTTTGCCCATTAGTCACTGTCTAATGTACGTTAGTCGAATCTGTCAATACTGGTTGCCCAGAAACCAGACAACGTCAAGGAAGAAGAGAAAGGGAAAGAGAAGAAAAATGGAGAAGAGCAAAGAGAAACAGAAGTGTTTAGTTTAAGAGAAGACACCTAGGCTTTTTGACTTGGTACACGACTTAATTTTGAGGTGAACTAAACAAATTTTGATTAGGTTTTGTTAGAGTGTAATTTTAAGTTTACTAAAAGTTCGCGCTAATTTTTTATTACGGTGCGAGCCGTGACCTTGAATGTTTACGAACTTGCTCCACTGTGTAGTCCACTGAGTCGCGCAACAAAGGGTTGCTGTACGATTTTGCTTGACTATAACGTCGCTGCAACTGAAGTTTGTCATAATCCCTCAAGTAAGGAATGTGAAGGTCTCTGTGTAGTGTATCGTTTGAGACATTCCATGGAGCGTTGCAAATTGTTCGCAAAGTTCTACTTTGCAGTACTTGAAGACTTTGCATATGTGTTTTGGCAAGAAAACACCAAGCCGCACATGCATAAGTAATGGCTGGTCTAATACTCATTTTATATAGGCGAACTTTGTTTATCAAACTCAATTTGGAGGATCTACATAACAAAGGATATAGTTGCCGAAACGCAATTTGGAATTTTGTTTTCAAGGCTGCTGTATGTTTATGCCAGGTCATGCCTTTATCAAGGGTGACACCGAGGTACTTGGCAGAATTTCCATAGTACACGATTGCCGTCTACAGAGACCTCTGTTGGGGGGCCGCTACGTTTTTTGGTACAATAAAGAGCCTGCGTTTTCGAAGGATTAATTTTAATCAGCCACCGTTCCGCCCACTCTAGTACTTCTTCCAACGCACTCTGCAACCCATCGTGAACCAGATCACCAGTACATGACTGGGCGACAAGTGCAGTGTCGTCAGCATAGAGGTCGACTTCACAGTTGCTGGGGCAAGGGACATCATGGATAAAAAGCGAATAAAGGATTGTTCCTAGGACCGAACCCTGAGTAACACCGGCCCGTACTGGCAGTGTTGTTGACAAAACATTGTTAATTTTGATCCGAAACTTCCTTCCTTCAATAAAGGATTTCAGTAATTTTAGAAGCCAAAAAGGGATTGGTTTATAAAGGAGGCCCGCGTGCCACACCTTGTCAAAGGCTTTTGAGACATCCAAAAGCAAGATGCCAGTACTCATGCTGAGGGTGAACCGTCTGGTTACATGTTCCACCAGCCTGACTGCCTGTAGCTCGGTGTTATGCTCGGACCGAAAACCGAATCACATGGTGATTTGACGAAAAATTCTCAAGGTGACGATAAATCACCTCTTCGGTGAGCTTAGAAGGAGCTGCCAGCAGACTTATGGGACGGTAATCCTGAGGAAATATCGAACTCACCTCTTTGGAATCATGATGACCTCAGCAGTCTTCCACCGAGCAGGGAAGTACTGGATTCTGAGCGTCGCATTGATTATTGTCACCATATATGTCAGGGCTTTCTGCGAAAGCAGCTTCAACGCCTTGTTGGTGCGTGCTTTTTTTTTTGTTGAGGGGGGAATGCGTTTATGCACCATACCATAGCTCGAGCTACGGCGTGTGTGGGACTCCAGGTTGTCTTGATGAGACCACCTAATACCCACTAAACCCTAACCTCCGCGTGGCCCGACTCATTAGCGTCTCGGTAAGGCCATGTGTTGTGCGTGACCTGCGCTCTGCTACAACGTCTCCTCATGTGTTTCAGTCTCTGGGAACGCCGGGTTGGTTCCCTTTACCGCGCACAGTTCTATCGATGTCGTTAAGCGAGGATCGATAGAGAGTTTGCTATGTTCTCTTGAAACTCTTGTTTTCGAAAAATCAACTGGGACCTGGTCTAGGGTACCTGGTTCTGCGGTTGCGAAGCCTCTCGTCTCGTAGGATGGTGCACTGGTGGCAATCCGGAGTAGCTTCATCTCTAGAGCAGCAAGTCGCTTGCGGTAGCTGGGGGCAGCGTACCCCCAGACCGCGGAGGCGCAAGCGAGCTGAGGTCTGGCGATGGCCTTGATCAGCCGTAGCTTGGTCGCTAGCGGCATCCGGCTGTGTCTACCCAGTAATGGGTAGAGTTGAGCCATGGCTGCTCTGGTCTTTGCGATGACAGCTTCTATGTGGGCTTTCCAGGCGAGGGACTTGTCAAATACGATCCCCAGATATTTGACTTTGTCGCTCCACTGGATATCTTCGTCGAAGATGGATGCTTCGAGAGGTCTTGCAATCCTTCTTCGTTGAATGAAGATTGCCTGCGTCTTCTGGACGTTGATGCGGATTTTCCATTTCACGCACCAGTCCTGGATGTGGTCCAGTTCATCCTGTAGTCTCCTACGGATGATCTCGGGGCGTCTATGCTTGGCGGCTATAGCAGTGTAGTCTGCATATAGGGCCAGCATTGTGTCAGCTGTCTTCGGCACATCGTGAGTATAGATGTTGTAGAGCAGGGGGGCTAAGGCTGACCCCTGGGGCACGCCTGCTTCCAGCTGTCGTCTAGTTGAATGGCATGTACCAATCTTCACCGTGAACCATCTTTGTGTTAGATAGCTCTGGATTAGTTGGCACATGTTCGCATCGATTCCGGCGGCTTCCATTTTGGCGATGAGTCCATCGTGCCAAACTCGATCGAAGGCTCGTTCCACGTCCAGCAGGACGAGATCGGTTGCCTCCTGGAGATTGAAGCCGCTGGTGATGTTTTCTGTCAGTCGTAGCGCTTGGAGTTCCGTGTTGTGGGAGGATCTGAAGCCGAATTGCTCTGGGGGGAGAAGTTGCAGTTCTTCTGCCTGCTTCTCTAGTCGAACGGCGATAGCCTTTTCGACTACTTTGCCCATCGAGGAAACCAGGCTGATGGGCGGGTAGTTCTGGGGCAACTTCCGGTCCTTGCCTCGCTTGGTGAGCATTATAACGTGGGCTTCCCGCCACCGCCGCGGGAAGTGGTTAAGTCTCAGAGTGGCATTGGCGATGTTGGTGAGCGCAGCAATGCCTTTGGTGGGAAGGTTTTTCAGCTTACTGTTGTTGATGCCGTCCCTTCCCGGCGCCTTTCTGACCTTCAACCTGCGGATGATCAGACGGATTTCCTCTGGACTGGAGGGGTGATCCGTCTCCTGGCCAGGTGGTCGACTCCTCATGATTTCGGCTGCGACTTCCACGGCCTCCTCGTGGTTGTCGTCCTCGTCTTCATGGTAATTGAGTCTGCATTCGGATTCTAGCGAATCGGCGAATGCTTCGGCTTTTTCTTCACTGGAGTAGGCCAAGCCGCGTTGGCCGTGAAGAGTGGGGATCGTGGTGCGCTGACGACGAAATTTTCTCTGCATAGTCCAGGTCGTACCATCCTGGGTCTCTAGTTCTGCTCTGCGTGCTAGCAGATCACTTTATTTTATATGAGTACAAGTCTTATATCATGACAAATGAGCAGCAGTAAAGTACCTATCTATTGCTCCCACCATTCAGCTACTCATTGGCTGATCTACCTTGGCCAGGACCGGTCTCGCCCTCGATGTCTAGAATGCTCCGTAACACTACTATATATTATCAAAATCGAAAATTTTATCTCTTGGTCCTAAAAAGTACCTCAAAGTTTGTTTGTCACTGGCATAGCTTTTATTGTCTTCTGAAAAATTCAAATTGTGACACTTAATCAGGGCTTTTGCAATAACCGACTATCTACTTAATAAAGCAAATCCTTCTTCATCAATCGTATAGCTAAACGTCCAAAGGATACGCTGTGCAGTATATCTAAACGCACCTCTGCGATAATATG